CTCTCTCTCTCTCTCTCTCTCTCTCTCTCTCTCTCTCTCTCTCTCTCTCTCTCTCTCTCTCTCTCTCTCTCTCTCTCTCTCTCTCTCTCTCTCTCTTTCTCTCTTTAAGAGCCAACAGTTGGAGCCATTGTGAGCCCACTTTGACTGCACTTTGGGAGCCAAGAAAGGAGCTTGAAGGAGGTTGTGACAAGGGATTTTGGAGGCAACCTTCTCATTAGGTAAGTGGACCACCATTGCACCAATGTTATGAGAAGGCATAAAATTAAATATCTACAAGTATGAGATGGGTGATAAACAGTTAATGTATTGTATCAATTTCTATGTCTTGTTTAACTAAAGTGGTGCCTTTGTTGTATGATGAATTTTGGTGTTGAGAATGAATTTATGACTTACTAAATTTTGTAGAAAAAAATGTATATATATGTGCGTATGTTGAGAAGGAACAATTATTATGATGTTATTCACTGAGAAATGAAAGTTATGGAGGCTGTTCTTGAAGCATTTTAAGTGTTACCATCACTTTAGTTATCATGGACTTTTTAATGACTAAATAGATAACAATCGCTTTCAAACTACCCTTGTTGGAAAGATACATGTTTTTATCCGAATTTTGGTTTTGGAACCATTTTAAAACATCCTATGGATTGAAAGTTATAGCTGTGCAAAGTGAGGCATGTCACTGTCTCAGATGTACAACAGGGCACAGATAGTGAACCACCATTGATTTGAACTTTTGAAGGGCTAAGCAGGGTCCAAATACTTTCAAACCACCCCCATTTGAAAGATATGTGTGTCCAGTATAAAATTGGTTTCGAAACTTTCTCCAAATTTCAAATAGATCAAAAGTTACGATCATCTTTATAGTCGGACATTACTATTTGAAATGGCAGGAAATGTGAATTGCGATACTAAAAATGAGATATCGCTACTGCCATACAGTGATACTGCTACTATCAAACTGTGAAACTGCTACTGTCATATTGTGATACTGCTACTTCATATTGTGATATTGCTACTATCATATTGTGATATTGTTACTGTCATACTGAGATACTAATATCGTCCTAATGTGACATTGATACTGTGG